CTGTCTCATCTGCCATTAAAGTATTCGAGATAAAGAACAAGCCTGTAAATGAACCCCGGAAAATAAAATAATTTTCTAATATAGAGATAGCATTCTAATATATAGGAAAATCCATTTGATAAACTACTCAAACCAGAGTCCCCAGGAGGAACATCAAATAAAAACAATTTCAGTCTTATACATGCAATTTTTGTAATTATTTTACAACAGCTGACATAATACCATATCCTAAGGAGATACTTTTCAAAAGCATGAACATCAATTTAGTGCATAGCTATCCAGGAAGGTTTAGCTATTGTACCAAAACATGTAAATATCTTGTCCGTCATGTTAATGAAACAGGGAAAAGCATCAAATAAAACAGAAACAGCATAACTAGACATCATCATTAAATCATCTGTTTCATAACAGAATGACATTTCAGTATTTTTCTTTGAATAAACCAGTTACAAGTATTTTTAATGTCATTTTCATGGTCAAGTGGTTGACAGGTAACAACTATTACGGTCTGTACCAGTAAAGAGCACTGGGCTCAAAAAATTACGATATTAAGATCCAGAAGGAAGATACCACCACATCTGTTAATTTTCCGGTCATCTGTAGTAATTTTGATTCCATTGTGCATGGTATCACTTACCATGATAATAGAACGAAAACTTCTTGCGCAAGTATTTAACAGTTCGAGATCTAAAGCCAGCAATCTCATAGAATCAAAGAATCATAGAATAGATTGGGTTAGAAGGGACCTTTGAAGATCATCTAGTCCACCCCCCCCCACAATAAGCAGGGACATCTTGATCTAGGTCAGGTTGCCCAGAACTGAATGAATCACTTGAAAAAATTTTCAAGAACAAGAATCATCCAGAAAAAAAAACTTCTGAGGAAGAGCTGAAAAGATTGAATGACTTCTTGTGAAAGAAAATCGAGGGAAAGACAAAGTAAATTATTTTTAATATGTAAAAGGGTACTGCAAAGAAGAAAAGATCGAATTGCTTTCTTTTTACAGTGGAGTTAGAATGGTTTGCAATAGAGCTTTTTTGTAAGTAGTAAGGAAGTATTATTGGAATCAATAAAGTTTTTCACAAGCAAGTCATTCTCTCAGATGATATAGCAGTTGGAAAGTATTTGGAAATGTCAGCATTTATAGAATGCATGGTTCTTCTGTTGTTGATGGACAGGGAGAAAAAGGCTGTTTACAATGATGAAATAACTTTGTTAATTGACACTATGCAAAAATTCATCCAGTATTGTTCCACTAAAAATCACGTTTTTAGAGGTGGTAACATCTTTCGAATTTCGTGTTCCTTGTACTTCAGTGTGGTATACGCATGTTCTGTGTATAGCCAAAAAACTCTTCCTGTCTTCTCTGTTTGGTTCTGTGCAGAAACTGTTGTACAGCCTTACCTTCAGATTTACAACCTTAATTTCCCTTCTGGCTATCATTGAGAATGAGCAGGAAGAAAGGATGAACGAGTAGCTTTTTTTAATTTTCTATGGGTTTTCTTAATATTGTCTTGCAATAAGGCAATTCTGAAAAGCATTCTGGGTTCAGAATCATGCTGAATTTCACGGTAATGTTGTCAGACATGTCTTTTCCTTCCTATTTAAGATTGTGAAATAAAAGCTGGACAGACTCTCTTCCTTAATAAGATAGGTCCATTAAAACATATAAAGAATCTGACTCATAATTTCCATTTTCTATTCAAGAGAGGAAATAGGGAATACTGGATCAGTGCAGATATTTTGTGAAATATAGATGGTCCCCTAACCTAGCAGTTGCTAAAAGTATACTATGTTGGAACAAACTTGATACCTGGGCAGGACACATCAGGTTCCAGCTAGTATTTGTTGCTTATTGCATACCTTCTTGTACTGCCACAGATCAGCATTTAATGGTACCTTACACAATGTATGTGGGTTACGTGTAATGGTCTGAAGATAAACCATGGTCAGAGAAGTGTTTTAAAATTTTTGGTGTTTCAGACCCTATTCAAAAGAACTATTGAGCATAAAGTAATTATCTCATTCTTGTAAACAGTTTTCTGTGAGCACCTCCAGATGTCTGGCAGACCCCACCTGAAAGCCTTTAAAGAGCAGTAAACTAATCTTCAGTTTATATATACTTCTTAAAGATTTTTATTTGTAAGTTGCCATGGAATCAAACCCTTCCTTAGTTACATTTTTGTTTTTCTTCCCTTAAAAGAAAAAATAAAACCATCTCCTTACAATTCTCTGCGGTTTTATTTGTATGATATTTTGTGATCTGGTTTTGTTTCTTTATGTCTTATTATGGCTAAGTTTAATTCATGAGAATGTTCATTTACAGGAATTATCAGAATTAGAAATGTCATTAGATACAGAATTGTTCTTCAGCTACCAGTTAAACAAAAGCTATACAGTTAAACCAGTCTGAAAAGATCACTTGGAGTGGAACATTCTGTACCAATGCCTAAAGATTTTTTTCTGAAACTGATGTCATTTCTTGTAGGCGACTAAATAACAATGAATTTTCAGTCCTGGAAGCTACTGGAATCTTTAAGAAACTTCCTCAGCTGCGTAAAATGTAAGTGTAACTTCAGTGACCTTGTCTATTCACATAGCATGTTAGCTCCTTGCTGTGTTTCACCGCCTTTTGTAGTTCTTATCTAGAAAAGATTCAGTATATTCTAATTAAAAAAATCAAGAATGGGTTTAAATTAATCACTGAGGAAGGTCAGAGTTGGCAGCTCTTCTCTACGGGACTAGGCGTTGCCAGCAGCAACTTCTCATGATGTATAGCTCCAGCACTTTCACTGCAGTGTCCAGACAGCTGGTCTTTTACGCAGCCACAGCAGGGAGCCCACAGTATAAGCTGCTCAAAGAAGGGTCCAGTAATCTTTTGTAGCTTCTTGTACAACTCCCTTACTAGGCAATTTTGCCTGTTTCAGCACATTCAAGACATGCCTTTGATTCTGTGCTTCGTTAAACTGTCATTAGATGAGGGGAATATCAAAACTAAACGACTGCAAAAAAAATGGTTTGGTAGCTCATCCAGGTAGGTCCGTGTTCACAGTTCATGTTGTAAGAGGAGTTTGTAATCTTACCACTTGGAGTTGTTACCAAAAGTAAATCTATGAAAAGCTTTTCTTTTGCTTATGTAAAAGACACATTTGAAGGTAGATTATTTAGTTAGACTTAGTGACTCTGTGCTTAATCTTTGCAGGATTATATCCAAGCATAAATAGTAAGCGAAGATAAATGCAAGTAAAAATAGTTCAGATTAATGAAATGATGCAGTGTTTTGTAGAGACCAAGTTACTACCATTTGTAAAAGATCAGTCTGCATCACTAGTGACCAAAATCTTAAGGGGAGCAATAGTATTACTTAACCTATTGTTAGCTTTGCTCAGATCCTTGTGGGTAGCTGTCATTTTTGATCACAGTTAGTTAAATATCTGTTACTGATTTTTTTAGTTAGTAGACATATATATATATAAAAGAAAAACTAAACAAACCCAACAAATAAAAAAAAAATCAACTTTACTTTTGTCCTATCCACTTGAGTATATCTTGCCACTTTGGATTGGGCTGAGGTATGTAAAAAAAGAAAGTAGGAATGTCTGGCACAGGAGTGTTCTGCTGCTATACAGTAGATACTTAGTTTTCTTCATTCCTCAATGATCTCAGATTAGCACTTTTTACAACTGCAGAATACCTTTGAAATAAATAAAATACATGATGTGCCATCTTACACATGCACACAGATATAGCAGATCTTCATTTAGAAGAAAAATGGGGAAAAGAGAATATACTATCAGTAATTACATATTTTCAGGCTATAAAGGTAGCTTAGTAAACATTTAATGTCATCTAAAGCTAGTTTGTTGCTTTTTGGGTGAGGAGGTGTTCAAGTCAAAAGAAAGAAGAGAATTGTAAGGTCTCAGTGTAGCTGTCTGCCAGCACTCCCAAGAGCTTTGGAATCTGGATAATTGAGAAGGAAAAATTGGAGAAAATGTTGATGAAAAATTAACATTTTGAATAACACTGCTTTGTAACTTCATCTAGTGATCAGTCATTACAACATTATTCGATTCAGAGAATAATACGGTGACTGGTTAAGGGTGACTGGAAAGCGGTGAGATACTGATGTTACAGAGAAACCAATATGAGTAAATTCTGTATTTGTGTGGAGCTCATGTTTCTTCTGGAGGTTCAAGTAGGTGCAAAGGTCTTTCTGCACAGATGTCACTGAAAAATTGAGGCCTAAATGTTTAATTGATTTGATGGTTCGTCAGTAATAAAGCACATGTATACACTGCACCATTGATTATCTATGCAACATTAATCCTTAAAATACCCCTGTGAGGTGGGTGAAGTAGTATTCATGTTACACCAGGAACAAATAAAATTTTAGGAGACTAAGGGCTTGACATGGATAAACCAGCTGATAAGAGCAATAATTGAGTTTCTTGCTCAAATGCTGCAGTCTTGTGCAGTACCTTACAGGAGACTGAACAGCTTCACAGTGAAACTAAATGATGCTGTTTCCCACAGCATTCTCCTGGAGAAACTGGCTGCTTGTGGCTTGGACAGGCATATTCTTCGTTGGATAAAAAACAGCTGGATGGCTGGGCCCAAAAGTGGTAGTGAATGGAGTTAAATCCAGTTGGCAGCCAGTCACAAGTGGTGTTCCTCAGGGCTCAGTATTGGAGCTGCTTCTTTTTAATACCTGTAGTGGTATTAAAGATAGTATTAAAGATGAATCTGGATGAGGGGATCAAGTGCACCCTCAGTAAGTTTGCAGATGACACCAAGCTGGGCAGGAGTGTCGATCTGCTTGAGAGTAGGAAGGTTCTACAGAGGAATCTTGACAGGCTGGATTAGTGAGCCGAGGCCAGTTGTATGAGGTTCCACAAGGCTCAGTGCCGGGTCCTGCAACTTGGTCACAGCAACCCCATGCAACACTACAGGCTTGGGGAGGAGTGGGTGGGGGGGGCACGTGTGTGGGG